TCACTAATTCTATTTTAACCTAATCATCCTAAATCTGAATTAAACCAAGTGTCACTTAAGTGGTCCTTGATGCTTTATTGTCCAAATGATAGTTCAGCTTCAACACTTCCACGAACCAATTCGACTTCTCACAAACTCCTCCAAATCACATTTAAGCCCGAAAACATGCATGGGTGTATATACACCCTAAATGCAACTATATGCACATGCATGGATGAAATAGGAATCAAAATATGTAATTCAATTTTCAATTTTAACAATTAAATGCAAAATGTAGTTAATTATGAAAATTATAAATATTCTCAATATTGCTTATCCATCCCTAATTCATCATCAAACACATTACTATAATGCATATTAAAGAATGTAAAACTCAATTTTCATGCATCCTAGAGCAATGTCCTCTCACTTAGTTCAATTTTATTCACACACATTCAAATATTGCATCTTTGATCAATTCAAGTGTAACATGTGTAAAACCAAACTCTGACACCATTAGAAATTCGTCTAGATTAATGGACTAATAAAGCTCTTCATGAATTCCTAATGCATCATCTAAGTGAATACATAACCCATTAGTGAATGTCCTATATGCATTTTTCCTTTTCTTTTTTTTTGACACTCGCCCTTGCTTTTACACCCGTTCTTCTCATAATGTTTCTATTAAAACTATTGTGAATTATGTACTTTTCAATGTATGCTTCTAAATGTGAAGAACTTAGCTCTTTGAGCTTTGAGATATGAGCAATGACAAAAAGCATAAGGTACTGTCAACACTTCAAGTGCAGTTGATATTAACCATTTCATTTTTTATGCCTCACTTTATAGTTGCCCACAATGAGCTCTTTTCTCACAATTGGCTCTTTGACATGGGATGTGAGGTGTTAATAACTTTTAGCTATGTGTTCAGTCATCACCAAAACTTAGAGTCATGTAAGGTTATTAATCAATCAAGCTAGCTAGACTTCCAAGTATGAAGGTGAATGGTTGACTTATACTTGATTTTTGAATTTTCACAAATGATACATTGCCCAAGGATGGTAGGGAAAGAGGAAATCGGTTCAAGGATCATGCACTATGACTTATAACCACCAAGTTCTCTATTCCTTAATATAAATTCATATTAGTGCACTTAAATTTTATTTAATGATGGATACACTACAAATCAAATCAAATCAAAGTGTGGTTACCATGATCAACAATGAAAAACAAACAAAAGAAAATCTTTTTTTTTCTTTTTCCAATATTTTTTATTTTTCTTAATAACAGAAAACATGCATAAGTATGCACTTAACAAGTAAAAATAAAGCACCTACAATAAATCCTAAAATGAATGTCCAACTAGACATCAAATTTTATTTTTTTTATTTTCATTTTCTAATTATGTTTGTGTTTTTCATTAAAGAAATCAAAATAAAATAAACAAATAAAAATATGTACCATGCCTAAAACTATGGTGTTGAATGCAATGCATAAATGGTGAACATAGGTCCATATTATCATCTCACCTACTTCTTATGTGACTCAACCTCCTTGGTAGTACTCGTGGCTTCCAATTTGGTTGAGGCGGTGAGCCTCTTCAAATCCTCTCTACACAACCAAACTTGTTTTTCCTACCAAATTCTTAGTTTTGATTAGGGAATGGGTATATGACTTTCTCTTTTCTCTCTGGATGTAAATAAGTCTATTTTTATCTTGGGAGTAGAAGGAGCCTTGTTCACTCTAGCTTGTGAGCCCTTTTTAGTTAATGCAATGTTTGGATTAGGCTCTCTTGACCTATTCATTAGATTAGTGAGATGCATGACTTGATTATTTAGTGTTTTTGATTGCCAAGCTTGATGCATGAACTTCTTATTCAAGACTTCCCTATTTTTCATGCAATGTGAGCTATAATGATCATGTTCTTCACAAGTGTAACACACAAATTGTTTGGCTTGAGTTTCCTTAACAACCAACTTCTTTAAGTGCTTACCTTTACTATTATTAGTCTCTAGGGGACTTATGTGTTTCATGTTGGGGTGATGGTTGGGATTTCCCTTCACATACACGATCTTAGAAGGTGTGGAAGTGGTGTGTTCGTGTGCATAGCCCAACCCTCTTTTATTACTTACACTCTTCCCTATAGATAATATTTTGTTAAGGTTTTTCAAGCCTAGGGATAGTCTCTTAGAGAGTTCTTATGATTATGAAGGTCTCTATCAAAATTTATCAATTTAAACTCTAGACTCTTCTTTTTCTTTACAATCCCATGCATTCACTCGCTAGAAAACTCATTTTGTCCTTTTGTAACACCCCAAAATTCACCCTGTGAGGCATTACTATCTATAATCATTCATATCATGAGAGCAACTAATAAATCCATAAATAATTGGGGGTCCTTAATTTAACAAAATTTGGACAGAATCTCCTTTGTTCGGGGAGCTCTACCCAAAACACAACCTGTGCAATTATACTACTTTGACCACACCGGGTCCATTTATCCATAAAATATTTTTAACATTATCCAAAAGAATATGCCAAACCATGGCATTTACATCTCAAAAATTAGCTAATATAACGCAGCAGGATTAACAAAATAAACTAGACTTTACAATGTACAAAAGAGTATCCTAGTCTAGTACAAGAGAAAAGGGGTCGCTCTATGCGTCCACCTCGGGATCCACACTCCCGTCAATTGGAGCCTCCCACTGGACGGCCTCCTCGGCTCCTAACTCCTCTTTAAGTACATAATCTGAAAAATATTAGCAGTAGGGGGTGAGCACGAAGCTCTGTAGAAAATTTCTCCCAAACCCAAACAAGGTTTAGAAAACATTTAAAATTTGGTCAGTCTCTTTTTTTTTTTTACAAAATATCATATATAACTTTTTAAAGAAAACATGGCATTTTAAATATATCTCAAGTTTAAGGGATAACAGTAATTAAAGAATAAATGAACACAATATACAATCAAATAACCATTCCACTATAAATGATTTCTCACAAGTTCTTGCGGAATCTCATACTTCCCAAAAATCTTGTAGAAACCATTTCTAGTGCAAAGAACAATTCCCAACACTATAACAATCCCGTGTATTATGGTGCATCCCCAAGGNCTTGTAGAAACCATTTCTAGTGCAAAGAACAATTCCCAACACTATAACAATTCTGTGTATTCTGGTGCATCCCCAAGGCCATGTAAGTTGATCGTTTCTCCTGAATCTACCCAACGATTATACCTAGTCCACCCATAATAATTACAAGCACATTTGGAAAGGGGCGTATACCATACCAATGGCATTGCCGAATCCCTCCCCAGGAAAGGTATACCATCCCTAGTTCGAACTCTAGGCGTACGATAGCGGTTGTTTTGCCAAACACCAATCCACTACAAGTGTAAGAAATCCTTTTCCCCCACCACGGGGTTCGACTGACATTTACACTCTACGACATATCTCGTAAGTAATTCAAGTCCATCACAAACAACCATACACAAGAGGAAACCAAGAATATCTCCATTCGCAACCATCTCAAAGAAATTACCAAATTCCACCATTTCTCAAGTAATCCATCATAGCATAATTTAAGAAAAATGAACAAGAGATCATTATAAACCTCATTTGTTTATACAAGGTAAAGCACTAAAGTTTGGTAATCAAGACAAAAGGAATTTAAGAGGAAAAATCCATTTTTCTTCAAAACTCGGGTTTGATTATGAAAAAGAATGGTTCAATGGTTACACAACAATCAAAATGTTTGAAACATGCTATTTATTGCAAAAATGTCAAGAATCATGTAGTACATAGCATATATATATGTGAAGACAAGTGAAAGACATACATATATATATACAACCCTAGCTTCAATTTATGAGAAATGAGAGAAAAACCCCCACCTTGAATCAAGATCTCTAAGCAAAACCCAAGCTCTAGAGACCTTGCTCTTCCCTTTTTTTTCTCCCTTAATCTTCCTTTAGGGCTCTAAGAGGTGTGGAATGAAAGGGGAGTGAAAGAAATGAGAGAAAAGGGGTTGAATATGGGGTTTTAGATATAGCAGCCCCGAATTTCACTGTTCATGGGCTGTTTGGGTCTTCTCCAAAAATTATGGTTTTGCCATTAAAATCTCCAATTTGATCCATATGACTACCCTAAGGTTTTTCGACATTCAGGATTCATTTTTAATGTTATTTTAACCTAAACAAATTTATTTTTATGATTTATTTCAAAACTAAAATAAATTAACACTCGAAACATTAAAATTTTTATTTTAGTCCTCCGAACCGCTATAGGTGCTATTCTTACGGTTTCAATATATATATGGTTTATTCTTAAGTCATTACATATATATATAAATCACTAAACAAGTACATTACTATATTAATATAAATATATGGGGATTTACACTTTCAAGGTCTAAGAAGAAAGCACAACACTTTACTATCCAAGTAACACCATAGTGCAGATTTTTGGTCAACTTCGGAGAATAAACTGATTTGACTCAGGTATTTCTAGTATGTGTGACATATATGGTTGGAAAGATATACGAGTTAGGGTTCTAACAAAAATAACGGTGCGCAATTTGAACTTTTCAACCAAGAGTTATGATCAAATTAGTGAAAGGTAGTCTGCCGGACTGCTTGGTTCTACTATACTTGTCTAACTCGAATTTGAGTGTCTTTTGTCACAAATCCTATCTCGTACCCATCTCCAATATAGGTAGGATGAATTTCATAAAGATCCATGTCTAGCATCATTCATTAACCAAAACCAAATTACCCTCCGTCTCCTAGAATCATCCGTGACAACATGATGTAGAACTAGTATTTTTAGAAAAATCTTTCTTCAATTCCTCTAAGCTAGCTCATTGATGAGAATGCAAATGTCATATTTTTCTCTTTTATTGTTTAGCCCTTTATACTTATTATTCTTATAGTTTGATTTAGGATGTAAATAAAGATGTTAAAAATAGAACGAAGCTAATAGGATGATTGTTGATAGTATAGACATGTGGGGATTTACAATGAACTAAATCTCTTCTTGAAGCCAACAATTATTAGCTTTAAAGTTAACTAAGTCCACATGGAGTGCTTGGTTTTCTTCTTCACTCATTTTTAGCCTCGTGGTCAATACATGCACTTTCTTCTTTTCCTTGAGAAATTCTTCAACTAATTGATCATAGGCTTCTTGAATATCGTCAATGCTCTCAGTATCATCCTCACTTGAGGAGACCCCAACATCCAAGTCTTGTACCATCATAGTAGCATTGATACCAATAATAAGAAGTTAATTCATGCAAATCATATTAACAACTAAATAAAATGCGTATATGAAAAACACTACATAATACAATATATATGTAAGATGTATATGTTATATACAATGTATGAATAGATGTTACAATTGAATTTTTGACAACCATCTAATAGGGACCACTATTCTACCAAATAGTTATACCGATTTGAATGGTCACTCCTCGCTTTAATTATTTATAGAGGCAATAGTCAACAACCTAGCCCCAGTTTTGAATCATCACTATCATTTGAAACTATATCACCTTTAACCTACTTTCCCTTCAACAATCTCCTAAGACACCCAACTCTGCTTTCTATAGATCCAAAAACTCACTACTAAGCAGAATCGATGGTCACAATCCGTCCATCCATAGAATCTAGTCTCTATGAAGTGACGATGATGTTTCTCCATGTGTTAATGAACCCTAGTAAGCATATCAACCATTAATGCTAACTAGTCAACAAGGATGTCCAAACCAAACTCAGGTGGTGGTGATCCTCTAGACGTGCTAGCCTATGAGTGAATTGGTGGTAGTGCATGAGATTCAGTCTCTACATGTGGATCCTCCATCTTATCATCTCTTTCCTCTACTACAACACACTTAGTTTGAGCTATGCTCTCTTATAGAGAGATCTTATTTAGAGACCTCATGGGTTTTTGCATCTTATCCTGAGGTAGGACCATAGCTCCCTTGCATGTGTAGATAGGCGTAATCAATGATCCAAAAGGCAGACCATTAGATACCCTCCCCTCAAAGAAGGCTTGTTGAATAACCCTAATATCATCATGGGTAGATCAAGATCTAACCTTGTCCCTATGTTATATAGCATGTGTGCTCTCTAAATTAAGAAATTTGAGATATGTTAAGTATAAGATTCAACAAACTATAATCTTGGGTCAAATTCTTCTGGTAGAACTTCTACTTAACCTAATTTCAAGGATGCAATATAACATAAAGCTCAATAGAAACTACAGAGTAATGAGGCATCTCATCGACCGGCCTAGGACCAAGAGCATCATTATAAACCCTAGGTAGGCCAAAAGTGGTAGCAATGAGAGATGCCAAAAAGGCAACGTCAATCCCACAAATGTATGTGACAAAGTGGTCAACCTTGGGATTTGGGTCTCAAATATAAGCATAGAACTCTCTCACTATACTATCATTTGATGGCTCTAGAGTCATATGCAACTAAGATCACCAACGATTGGAAAAATTGAGAGGGATATAAGAATTTACCTTATCAAAGTTTCGCTCAATCATCACTAGCCTACGAGCACACTCAACCTAATACCTCTCTTCGTATTCTGAGGTTTGGAATTGAGTATTCTCATCGAAGATCACCTCAAACTTCCTCAACCCTAACTCATTTATCTCTTCATGGAGGCATGATCACAAAAAAATCAAGTATCTAGGTCTAAGTGTGTAGATCTCGTAGATCAACTATCAAATCATCTCTAGGAATACTCAAGAATGTGTTTAGGATTAAAAGGTGAGAGTTTTGGTAGGCTGGGATTATGTTGGAGGTGTTTTGAATGTGATGGGGGTGCTTGTCCTTCTATTTAACACCCTAGGTGCCAGCTGATCGTAGGGTTTGCTCGAGTGGTCCTTGAGGCTTTGCTATCCAAATGACAGTTCAGCTTTAGTGCTTCCACAAACCAATCTAACTCCTCACAAACTCCTCCAAATCATCCTTTAAGCCTTACAAACATGTATGAGTGTATATACAACATAAATGAAACTATATACACATGCATGGATGAAATATTAATCAAAATATGATATGCAATTTTTAACTTTAACAATTAAATGCAAAAATGTCATTAATCATGACAATCATACATATTCTCAATATAATATACCCATCCCTATTTCTTCATCAAGCACATTACTCTAAGGTATATCAATGAATGTAGAACTCAATTTCATGCATCTTAAACCAATAGCTCTCAGTTCAATTTCATCCATGCATATTCGAATATTACATCTTTGATCAATTCAATTATAATGTGTGTGAAACTAAACTCTGATGCCATTAGGAATCCGTTAAGATTAATGGAATAATAAAACTCTACATGAATTTTTAATGCATCGTCTAAGTGAAAACATAATTGGTTAATGAATGTCCTATATGCATCTTTCATTTTCTTTTGAGACACTCACCCTTATTTTTCCACCCCTTCTTCTCATAATGGCTTCCATTAACATGATTGTGAATTCTGTACTTTTTAATGTATGCTTCTAAATGTGAAAAATGTTGCTCTTTGAGATTTGACATATGAGCAATGGAAATAAGCATAAGGCAATCTTAACAATTCAAGTGCAATTGATATTATCCATTACATTTTTTTATGCCTCACTTTAAAGTTGGCCACATTGAGCTTTTTTCTTACAATCAGCTCTTTGACATCTTTTAAGGGATTTGGGGCTTTACTAACTTTTAGCTATGTGTACACTCATCACCAACACTTATAGTTATGTAAGGTAATTAATCAATCAAGTTAGTTAGACTCCTAAGTATGAAGGTGAATGGTTGACTTGTACTTCATTTTTGAATTTTTACAAATAACAGATTAACCAAGCACGATAGGGGAAAATATAATTGGTTCCAAGATCATGCACTATGACTTATAACCATCAAGTTCTTTATTCCCAAATATATTTCATAGTAATACACTTTAATTTTAATTCATAATGGATAGATTAAAAATAAAATCAAACTATGTATCCATGATCAACAAAGAAAAACTAACAAAAGAAAATATTTTTAATTCTTTTTCTAATTTTCTAATTTTTATTATTAGTATAAAAATAGAAAAGCATGCATAAATGTGCACTTAGCAAGGAAAAATAGAGAAACTACAATAAATCCTAAAGCGAATTTCCAACTAGATATCAAAAAACTTTTTGGATGTTCAATTTTGAATTTTTTTTTTATTTTTCATTAATGAAAACAAACCAAAATAAACAAGTAAAAATATGTACAATGCATAAACCTAGGGTGTTTAATGGAATGCACAAATGGTGCAGGTCCATACTCTTACCTCACCTACTTCTTATGTTATTCAACCTCCTTCGTAGAAATCGTGGCTTCCAATTTGGTTGAGGAGGTGAGCCTCTCAAAGTTCTCTCTACAAACTCAAACTTGTTTTCCTTTCCAAATTCTCGAGTTTGGTTGGAGAATGGGTGTTATACTTATTCTCTTCTCTTGAGATGTAGATAAGTCTATTTTTATCTTGGGAGTAGAAGGAGCCTTATTTACTCTAACTTGTGAGCCATTTTTAGTTGATATAATGTTTGACTTCGAATCACTTGAGCTATTCATTAGCTTAGTGTGATGCATGACTAGACTATTCAACGCTTTTGTTAGACCCCGTACAAGAATTAAATAAAAATAATATAATCTTCATATTTCTCCTAGGATGAATAAAAGGATTGTAAAAACCTCGAATCTTTGTTGATAGATTGATCATGAAGTTTGAGTCTCAGGCGAATTGACATTTGGGTAAAACTTAGGTTCAGAAGCGTTTAAGTTTGAGAATGGTAGTTAAGTAAGTCGCTAAATATTTTTAGATAAAAATAAGGCCACCATTAAATCCAAAAGTTCGAGAAACCTTTAGAGACATAATATGGAGTGTATTAAAAGTTATAAAGTATTTCGGAGTTAAAGCGTATTTTAGAAAGAATTTGGTAGGAATGAATTTGACACTACCTTAATATTTTAGCTATAAATTTTTACTCCAAATTCTGATTAAGCTGATTTTTGGACAATAGAAACCAGACTTCAAGGGCTACAAAAGTGTATTTCAAGAATATGTCATGAATCAGCTTCTACCTAGGGGAAAATTGAGCTGAAATTTTCCATAGTCCGAACGCCCCTTGCACCATCTAGACGCCCCTTCTGAAAATAAAACCTTGTTTGTCATAAAAAAAAATGGAGAATGAAAATGAAACCTTGCTTTTTTGGCTATTTGTTGTGCTCTCTTCACTTGGAACTTCCTCGGCCTGGATTCACAAGGCCTATCAATGCTAGGGGTAACTGTTTTACAAGCTCTAACCATGAGGGGATCTAGTGAAGAAGTTGGAAGAGAGACAAAAGAGAGGAAAGAACAAGAAAGAAAAGGGAAAAACTAAACTGAAAAGATAAGAAAAGAGAACTTACAGGTTCGCCAATGATGGTTCAGAGCCTATGCGAAGGCATTGGGACACTAAGGAATTCAAACACTATGAAAGCTTGTGAAGATGACGAAGAGAATGGCTATGTAAACAAAAAAATTGCAGGTTCCCAAGGTTCAATCGAGAGAGAGGTGATGTGAGGAGGACTCCTTATATAAGAAGAAAAAAGGGAAATATTGTGCATAGAACACGAAAGGGGAAAAATTAAAAGTCGATTCAAAATCAAGGACAAGAATATGATATGATGGCTTATGAAGAGTCATCACCTTCACATGAAACGTGTCTTATCATACAAAAACTAAAGGTTGGGGGTAGTTGATGGGACGTGACATGTCAGACCAATTAGAGATGGACACGTGACACTTACGTCAGCATACATGTGATGTCACTCGGTTGGAGATGACGTCATTTGGAGTAGAAGTAACGATGATGAAAGGACGATAGAGTCCCCTTGAGTTGATGTTGTTTAGGGTAATGTGACATCACCTGGAGGAGAAGTTGTAATACTAATGAGAATCCCCTCAGGGGTGATGTCCCTTGACCAGATGTGACATCACCTGGGAAACTATGTTTGCTAGGGATGCATTGGGGATGTCTACCTATGAATAAAGGAGGAAAATGATTTACAAGGGTCCTTATTCAATTGTCAACAAGCATGGGTTTTCATTACCCCACACTGTTAGATCAAGCATGATGACACACTACAGCCAATCATGGGAAAGGGCCTTAAAATTATGACAACTAGTAATATA